GTAACATTCAGAGGGCCAAGGGACTGCATTAGATTCACCTTTGAGGCCCAAATACTTAGGACAAGCCAAGAATATAGTACTTACAGTACATATATATTGGCTGGGCAAGTCCATGGACTGAATTTATATATGGAAGATCCACTAGCTAATATCACCACTCATATTATTTTCTTCCCCTCCACCCCAAATGACTTATGGGTCAAAAAAGATGAGGAAACAATTTTTACAAGGGAATCACTCTAGGTTCTCAGCCTTCTGTGTTACGCTTTTGCATTAAGTCTTACCCTAGCCAAATCCTCTCTATATACGAGAGTACCACCGGCCATTCAAAACACAAAAATTACCTTATACCCTACATATTTGGTGATATCAAGCTCTGTACACAAAAGTAGATAATTCCAAGTCTACTACTGTTATTCACTTTAACAACAATTAAACTTTACACAGCTGGCCCTACTTTAAAATTCACTCTAAATTCTATCCACAGTATAATGCCAGAGTTTCTTAGCAACCTCTGCTTTCTGTGAATGTGACTTCTTTCTAGATTCCACATCCATCTCCTGGATCCAGGTTCGATGCCCAAAGTGGTGGATTCCTTAGATTCTGCTCCCAGAGTTACCTACCCCTAACAAACCACAGTACTGAGCTGCTTCTGTTTACAGTTTTTAAATGCCACACACTGAGTTTCTCCTATCACCACCAGTTCCTCAATCAAAGTCTATGGTTCCCATTATCGTCAACTCCTACATGAGAGTTACTGTGGGCTTCTAAATTTCTTAGGAAAAAAAGGATCTAGTGATTTGTAAGCTGCTACAAGAAGAAGGGTACACTAACAAAGATAAAAGCAAAGATAATGCTTACAGAGGAGAGAAGTGATATTTTATTTAGACCAAGAACAAAGAGGTAATTGGGAGACCATAAAAAAGGTCAGAAGTTGCTGTTCAAAGACTTGACAAGGGTGCGGTGGGGTGGCTCACGCCTGTAATCCTAGCACTCTGGGAAGCTGAGAGGCAGGAGGATTGGGAGGATTGCTTGAGCTGAGTTCAAGACCGGCCTGAGCAATAGCAAGACCCCATCTCTACTAAAAATAGAAAAATCAGCCAGATGTCATGGTGCACGCCTGTAGTACCAGATACTCAGGAAGCTGAAGCAGGAGGATTGCTTGAGCCCAGGAGTCTGGGGTTGCAGTGAGTTTTGCTGACATTAATGAACTCTGGTCAGGGCGACAGAGTGAGACTCCGTCTCAAAAAAAAGAAAAAAAAAATGAAGTAGAAGTTGCTCTAAAGAAGATCTGAGATAACAATTTGATCCCAATTTGATCCCTGGCAATTAATATTTTTGTTGAATGAATTAGAGATGTCTTTTCAGACATTAAGTTAGACAATCCTCAAGTGGTTTTTAAAAATAAAAGAGATATCCTGAATTATTGTGTATTTTCTGTATTCTACACTGGATCTTGTTTTTAAGTTTTTACTTTTTGAATCAGGTTGTGCCATATTTTAACTTTTACTTTAGTATATAATACACAGTATATTACAAAGTAGAGCTCTTAACAAACTGCATATAGCTTTGTAACCAGCATCCACAACTAGAAATAGAACATTATTAGCACCTTGTACAAAAGCTCCATCCACCCCTCCTTTCTGATCATTATTGCTTTTCCCCATAGGTAACCACTAGCCTGACTTCTCATAGATTAGTTTTGCCTTTCCTATATCTTATAAAAGTAGAATTATGTAGTCTGCACTATTCTATTCAGCTTCTGTGCCAGTTACCAATTTATTGCCTCTCAACTCCTAAATTCACCCTTCAGTACCAGCTCTGCAGTAATGGACTGGACTCTTCAGCATTTCTCCTTTACAGGGCATGTGATACTAAGCTTGGTCAGCAGAGGAAGTTGAAGGGACACTGTAGGTGGAAGGGCGCTTGTCTTTTGGGTTCAACAGTGGCATGCATTTACTGTTCCTACAAGCGCGCGTGCATACCCATGTGGTACCAGTCTGCCCAGGGCACACGGTCCCTCTGCGACCACACAGCTGCTGCCCTGCTTGCTGACCACCTTCCCGTGGTCCTCCAGACACAGACAGCAGAGACTCCAGGCCTCAAGCATACAATAGCATCCCATACGGTTGTTTCCTGCAGCCCTCCCCAAAAGAACCCCATGTGCTCCAGCCACTGTGCCTGCACTGGCATACCAACCCCCTCTGCATGCCTGCTCACCAGACTTGGCTCATGTGGACCCTGAATGGTTGTCTCCTATAGCCTTCTCAATGGGGACACTGCGAGCTCTCTACCTTGCACCCACAGTGGCACCCCAACTCCCTTCTGCCTGCCTACCCACCAGCCTCGGTTTGTCTCATCCCAGAGGTTTATTTCCTGCCTGCCCAGCAACTGTGTACTAGCTCTGACCCTGGCAACCTAGGGAACTTCTATGCCACCCAATGACTTACAACCACACCTTTTCCAATGAAATCTGAACCCTAACCCTGGGAAAGAGGCCTTCCGCCCTCCTATCCCATCCGGATTATAGACAATTTTCTGAAATTATTTAACTTTAATAAATGGCAGAGTTTATTTGTACACAGGATAGTATGATGCTAAAGCCCAAGATCTTTCTACTACCATCAATCTGTATGACATTAAAGACATTTCACCAGACTCTAATTCTTTGAAGACTGAGACAGTGTCATATTTGCTACTACTTTCCATTACCTAGCACAGTGCCTGGCACACAGAAGGTGCTCTGTAAATACCTGTTCAATTAATGAAGATACTGAAATTTGAATAACTCTTTTTATGCAACCTAAATTCTTAAGTTTAGTGATTTTTAGCCTATATAAGGAATGTTACGTGACAACCCTGAGAAAATATGATATTGCAGATTATCTTGATTAAAGCATATAAACACCCAGACAAAGTGAAAAGGAGGCAACTAAATTCTGAAAATTTTGAATTGGAAGCAGGTGATACAAATATCTGTGACCCAAGAAAGGGGATGAAGACTTATAATCTAGAAAGGAAGATGAGACCAGTACATAAAATAGCTGAAGAACAATGCAAAAAGAAGCAAAATGAAAACAAACTCAAGACCTAAGCCCAAAAAAACTAAGAGCTATACAAGTTAAGAGACCGTATATCAATGAAAATTTGAAGACTCTATTTCACAAAGCATACAGGATATGCAAGGTCTGGAAGTGAAGACAAAGAAAGCCTGGAGAGTTTACCCTACTTTTCACCACTTCTGGAGAGCTCTCTGATCACAAGGCAGCTCCAGAGAAATTAGCCTAGGTAAGGACTAATGCCACATGCAGATCCACCAATTAGCTCCCAGCTCTGTACCAGACAGGCAAAGAAAAGGGCAAGAGTAGATTCCGGATCTAGCTAAGCACATGGGTAAGAGCAAAGGGCCCATCACTCAATATTTAGATAAACAGTGGATCTGTCTCCTAAATTCAGGTGGGCAATGCCCGCAGGCAAGCAAATATCATTTTAGCTATTGCTACATTGGGGAGGTAGAGAGGAAGAGGCAAAGGGAAGATGGAGGAGGAAAGGAAGAGGGTAGGAGAAGGAGGGTAGGGAGAGGGAGACAGAAACCATCTAAAATTTAAATTATGTACTTTTCTGTGTGTTGTTACTGTTCAACAAAAAGTTTACCATAAGAAAAAACTGGACTGTTCTTACTCTCAAAGATGATCTGGAAGCTGTAAATTGCCAGTTTGGGTCCTATCTATACTTGGAGATAATGAAATCATCCCCTAGTTTTTTCTTCTGTAAAATGAATACTCCAAGTTTCTAACCTCTCCACTCAAATATTAGTCACTCATATATTTTCTCTCTCTCCTGTACATTCTATGTTCTGTCTCCTTAATTTGCAAAGTTACAGCTAAACTAAGGTACTTTATCAGGTTAGTATCAACCCTTATAAATATTCATTGAAACCAAATCAAACCTTATGGTGAAATGCTAAAGGCACTTCTATTAAGAAGTTGGGAACAAGACAAGGATGCCATCTATCACGTGGCTCTGGACATTCTAGAGAATATCGGGAAAGATTATGAGATATATAAATTGGCAAGACACAAAATTATTATTTATATATGATGTGACTGCTTATCGTTTAAGTAAGCCCTTAAAAAACAACTTGAAAACCATGATAACCAAGAAAAAGAGTTTATAAGATGGCTGGCAAAAAAAATGTTTGTACAAACATCAGTAACTTTGTGAAAATAAACCTCAAGCTTTCTTCATGTATGCACCTGCATACCAAGTTCCTGTCACGCATACCAAGTGAAATCAACTCTATTACTCTGGCTGTGCATACTCAAGGGACTGGTGCCGAGGCAGGGGCCCACTTATCCAGACAGACATGAGAGGTCAACCTCCTGTCATAGTTGGGCACCACACCGGAACTGACCCCAACAAACAAAAAACACACACAAGTACAATGTCTTCATTAACACACCTAGAATTGTGCTATTATATGTCCAACATATCATTCATCTTGAATTTCTACTATACCAAATCCAAACATTTCTCAAATTTCTCCCTCTCATTACATCATTTATCCTCTCTCTGAGGAGCTGGTCACCTCAGCAACCAACATGAGAAGACTTATAGGACAGTCACCAGTGAAACAAAAGGACCAACTCTATTTCTTCAATCATAAAAAAAAAAAAGGCTTTTTTTTTTTTTTTTTTTTTTGAGACAGAGTCTCACTTTGTTGCCCAGGCTAGAGTGAGTGCCATGGCGTCAGCCTAGCTCACAGCAACCTCAAACTCCTGGGCTCAAGCAATCAATCCTGCTGCCTCAGCCTCCCGAGTAGCTGGGACTACAGGCATGCGCCACCATGCCCAGCTAATTTTTTCTATATATATTAATATTAGTTGGCCAATTAATTTCTTTCTATTTATAGTAGAGACAGAGTCTCACTCTTGCTCAGGCTGGTATCAAACTCCTGACCTTGAGCGATCCTCCCACCTCGGCCTCCCAGAGTGGTAGGATTACAAGCATGAGCCACCGCGCCCAGCCAAAAAAAGGCTTTTTTAAAAATTATAAAGATCCTTTCCTAAAGAATCCATGCCTTAAAATCCTATCATTCTAAGACCCCAGTACTTAAAACTACATTCGCAGATAAAAAGAAAATGAATCCTTCTGCAAAAACAGTAATATGTTCCCTATTTTACTGAGTTCTCCATTCTCTAGGTGAATAAAAAAGCTTTCTTTTTTAATATAGAAGGAAAATAAATTCATTTTTTCTTCAAGCAAAACTTACTAAAAATGAAAGGATGCCCAGAAGTCAGGAAGATGATTCAGGAAATCTGTTTCTGTCAGAAGGCATGAACATCTTTACCAAAACATGTTAGGTACTTGAAGAAACTCTCTATATGTGGAGAAAATCAGCCCTTCAATAATGATTACCAAACTTATATACAGCATCGATATTTGAATCTATAAACAAAATGAGTAAAACTAAGAAATATGTTGGCTTTAAGCCCATCCCCACCATTATACCTAGAGAATCAACCCCTTTGAAGTCTTTTCTGTTAAATTTTACCACTAGCACATACTGCCTAAAGCTTCAAGCAAACTCAAAAACACTAGATAAATCTGTCTCATTCAGCTCCAGACCTGAGCTGAAGAAGGTTTACCTGAGCTGAGGAAGGTTTCTTATCTTTTTCCATAATTCCTATCCCTATCAATGACATCCAGTTATTTAAATCATCAGATTGTCGTACAATGTTCAGATTCTTGAGGATCTACTGATTTTCTTATCAGTAGAAAGAAATCTTTCTTACAGATTAACCTGTTATCAGACCAATACAAAACAACATTAATTCAAACATAAGAACAGAGAGAAAGAACTAGCATTTGGAACAAATAAGTTCCTAGGACCTTTCAAGGGGAAACCTATATATTTGCTCCTTCAGGTGGACATGTAGTATGTGTGTTTGTATGTATCTCCACACAAGTAAAGAAAAAATATGTATGTAGATTATTTATATGCTGAATATACAGATGATCCTCCAAGGCTAGCAGGTATTTTTCTAGTAATAATCCACATAATCCACTCTCTCCCTGGGTTAGAGTACAGATTATACAACCCAATTGTCTGGGTCCAAATGTTAGCGCTTGCTATTTATTAGCTGTATGACCAGGGCAAATCACTTAACCTCCTGTCTCAGCTTCCTCATGTATAAAATAGGGATGATAATCATATGAGGATTAAATAAATTAAATTAGTACATGCAAATTACAAACTACAGTGTCTACCACACAGAAAGTACTATATACTGTTAAATATTACTATTGATATTTATATGACAGCCATCTAGGATAACAGAAAAAATATCTGACAATAGCAGTGGGAATAAATGACCTATAAGGATTCATGATCATGATAAATTTTTATTATGATCCAAAATCCTCAAAGTAACTTTAGAACTTTATTTTCCTTGGTTAAAGGAGCAAGCCCTAATGTAGATAAAAACATTTCACAAATGCAAAACAATCCAGAAACATGATTCTTGTTCAAAATCTGCTCCCATAAAATAAATCATTTAAAGACAACTCATGCAAAAACAAATAGAGGGGCATTTATTTCAGCTAAACACAACTTTTAAACATTCTTTCTATCACAATGACACCTATTTTACCAGGTATAATCAGAAAATAAGTACTTTGCATAAATGAATTTTCCAGAAACCTCAGATTTAAAAATTTATCAAAAAGTTTCATTTCATTTTTTAACAAAATGAAAGTCTGGTCTTCTTAAAATGTAGCAATAGTGAAATAAATGATTTAGGCAACAATCATCAATAAATGTTAAACTCAAACCATTAGGTGAAAGATGGACAAACCTGGAAATCTGCAGATTGTCAAAATGTCATTCCTTGGATTTTATTGGTCAATGGAGGAAATACAATTTGACAAAAAAGGGCTGTGCCAACATAAATCCACCAATCGATCATAGTACATACAAAATGGGACAAACATTACATGTCTTCTAATATGAACAGGACGTACAATGCACCACCTATGAATTTAAAAAAATGAATAATTATAAAAATAGTCAAGCTTCCAAATTGAGCTACCTACCTGTTTATAGGTAATATGACACAATGATATAATCAGCAAAATCCAGAATGTTAAGGAAGAGAATGATCCAGTTCAACAAATAAATGGCATGACCAAAAAAAAGTAGAAGGGAGAGGTGAATTATTATAGATTAAAAGAGACTGAAAAGATATATCAATCATGTTATGTGTACCTTTGGATCTGACTCAAAGAATTACTATAAAAAGCCATTTTTAGGCCAAGGAGTGGTGGCTCACACCTGTAATCCTAGCACTCTTGGAGGCCGAGGCGGGAGGATCACTCAAGGTCAGGAGTTGGAGACCAGCCTGAGCAAGAGGGAAATTCCATCTCTACTATATATATATATATATATGTATATATATATATATATATATAAAATTAGCCAGGCATGGTTGTACATGCCTGTAGTCCTAGCTACTAGGGGGGCTGAGGCCAGGATTGCTTGAGCCCAGGAGTTTTAAGTTGCTGTGACGCCACAGCAGTCTAGCCCAGGCAACAGAGTGAGACTCTGTCTCAAAAAAAAAAAAGCCATTTTTTAGAAAATTGAGGAAAAAGATTCAGTATCAGATAATATTAAAGAATTAGGGTTAGCTTTGTTGGGTATGATAATGTGATTTTCTACAAAGTCCATATCTGGTAGATATGCACACTAAAATATTCACAAGTGAAATGATAGGTTGTCTGGAATTTTCTGTAAAAGTACTTTAGGAAAAATAGAAAATGAGAGTGGAAATAAAACAAGAAGGGCATGAGGATTCATTGTATTATTCCCTCTGCTTCTGTCAATGTTTGAAAATTTTTTTATTATGTAAAATATCTTACAGATTAAGGAAAAAAAGAGACAGGAATTTATAACCAATCCTAGGTCTGGCCATATCCTTGAGGCATGAAAAACTGCAGAAAGCCTATGTACGTAAAATACAAAAACAGCTGACACTAGTGGCCTCTAAAGACTATATGTGAGATGCTTTGAGCAGACTTCCTTGTCAGCAGAAATTCTCTCTACCACATTCCTATGGAGGTGTGTTTTCCATTAAGCAATGGAAATCTATCACCAAGGTGTAAACATGATGTCTTGATACCAAACTGAACTCTGGAATTCCAGCCTCCTTACCCCAAGAAAAATTATTCAAAGAAACTGACTACTAAAACATGAATTTTTAGATAGGGTATATATGTTAAGTCTTTAGCAGCTTGCCTCTTTGTACTTTTCAAGTTTTTCCAACATTCACATAAATAAATATTTTTGTACCAGTTAAAGAAATAATCTTCAGTAAAATAAGAGAAAAAAATCACTGTTTTTTAAAAAGTGTATTTAAACCAATCTCTTCTCCATTTTCACTGCTGCCAAGTTAGGCTTTTATCACTTTATACTTGGTATCAGTGTAGTTAAAACATTAACTGACTATATCACAGATTGACAGGTCAACTATTTATCACCTATTTCCTCTCAAAACTTAATAATATAGTAGTCTACTGCATTTATAGAAGAGGACACAGTTCAAATGTTATAACCACAAATTTAAGAAAGAGGTTCAGCAATATAGGCATCAAAGCTATGCAAAGAATATTTCCTTTATGATCTGTAACTGTTTTGTACCCCCTTCTTGTTAGGCAAGAAAAACAGTGAATCTAAATTATTGCACCTTACCAATATTTTCCCAGTAGCTATTGCCAAATATGACTAACTTTCACCAGGCTATACTCACCTTTCTGGGACTCCCTGATCTGATTTATGTATCTATTGAACATGATTTGGTCAATAACGGTGATAAAAATGAAGAGAGACTATAAAAACAAACAACAGTAAATGACATTAAAGGTAAGGATAAATCTAGTTTTAACATGTAATTGAAAATAAGCTGTAAGATGAAGTACATCTCGTTGTGAGGAAAACTAATCTGGGAAATCTATTTCTCTATTGATCTTATTCCCCTGGGAATAGGGCAGCTTCTTCACAGAGTAAGAGAAAAGAAACAATATTACTGCTAGCAAAGTAGAAATTAATTAGCTCTGCTCTCTTTCTGCTGTTAATATTCCAAGCAAAGGTAGTTACTTCCTTAATTAATATAGAAGTAGTATAATAGTTACATTTATCTACACTTAGATGGTTTTCAGATATTAAAAGTCCTCCTACTCAAAGAACTTAGCTTCTAAGAACTTAAAACTGGATTTGTATAACACTCACTGTTAAAAATAATTAAGAAGCTACAGTGCAGCAGCTAACATTTATTGCATTTTTCTTAATCATCATAACAACCCCATGAGATAGGTGAAGTATCATTAATGTTCCCAATGGACAGATGGAGAAACTGACACACAGGGAGGGTAAGTAACTTGCCAAAGAAAACAGACTATTAAGTAACTAAACCAGGATTCAAATCCAGGCAGTCTGGTTGCAGAGTCCACACTCTTAGCCACACCTGACTGCATTACATAATCAAATAATATCCCCATCATCACCACTCAAAGATTTTAGGGGGGAAAAAGCAAATCTATTAGTAACTTATTCTAAAATCCATTAGTACCATTAAATCTTGTGAAGAAATATTTAATGAGCATTTACTATGTGCTCAGCATTGTATGATTTACTAAAGGACACTTGAGAAGCAGAAAACAGCTATTCCCTCTCAAAACCATACTGTCAAGGTAGGGAGATAAAACATATATACAACACTAAGAAAGAAAATGTATGTTATCTTGGCCAGCCGCGGTGACTCACGCCCGTAATCCTAGCACTCTGGAAGGCCAAGGCGGGCGGATTGCTTGAGGTCAGGAGTTTGAAACCAGCCTGAGCAAGACCCCGTCTCTACTAAAAATAGAAACAAATTAATTGGCCAACTAATATATAGAGAAAAAATTAGCCGGGCATGGTAGCACATGCCTGTAGTCCCAGCTACTCAGGAGGCTGAGGCAGTAGGATTGCTTGAGCCCAGGAGTTTGAGGTTACTGTGAGCTAAGCTAACGCCATGGCACTTACTCTAGTGTGGGCAACAAAGTGAGACTCTGTCTCAAAAAGAAAAAGAAAAAAAGAAAATGTGTGTTATCTCTATGTAAAAGCTACTTCCTCATAAACTCATCCATGGCCAACCCTCACTTCTCACCCGAGAGCATTTTTTAGATACATCATAATTTGACTGTGGGAAATCAAAGACAATTTTCCCATAAACTTGGTAGGGGAAGGAGGCAATGCAGATTTCTGACTATGGGATAAAAATTATTAAATAATCTCAATTTGGTTCTGCAAAAACTCTACACCCAAAATATAGCTAATAAAAGACCTATATATCCAAATATGAATAAGATTCTTTTAAGCAATCACAGTCTAGGCTACGCATCGTGGCTCACACCTGTAATCCCAGCACTTTGGGGGGCTGGGGAGAGCAGGGGCAGATGACTGCTTGAGGCCAGGAGTTAGAGACCTGCCTAAATAACACAGTGAGACCCCTTATCTACCAAAATTTTTTTTTTAAATTAGCTGGACATAGTGGCATGCGCCTGTAGTCCCAGCTACCCTGGAGGCTGAGGCAGGACGATCTCCTGTGCCTAGGAGTTTCAGATTGTAGTGAGCTATGCTCATGCCACTGTACTCCAGCCTGGGCAATAGAGCAAGACCCTGCCTCAAAAAAAATAAATAAATAAAAGGCTAGCCCGGTGGCTCATGCCTGTAATCCTAGCACTCTGGGAGGCCGAGGCGGGCAGATTGCTCGAAGTCAGGAGTTCAAAACCAGCCTGAGCAAAAGCGAGACCCCATCTCTACTATAAAAATAGAAAGAAATTAATTGGCCAACTAATATATATATAGAAAAAATTAGATAATGGCACATGCCTGTAGTCCCAGCTACTCGGGAGGCTGAGGCAGTAGGATCGCTTGAGCCCAGGAGATTGAGGTTGCTGTGAGCTAGGCTGATGCCATGGCACTCACTCTAGCCTGGGTAACAAAGCGAGACTCCGTCTCAAAAAAAAAAAAAAAAAAAAAAAAAAAAAAGAAAAAGAAAAGAAAGAAAGAAAAGAAAAGAAATTACCATCTGCTAAGAATGACAAACCTGCTAATAAATATGTCATTTGATGCTAGAGAAGATACAACAAAGCACGAGTTTCAGATAGTGCGGGCAGGCATAAAGGAGTGGGCAAATGTAAGTGGAAATTCTTGATTAGGTGACTCTTAGGGATGATATAACAAAAAGATAAAGAAATGTGAAATTTTATAATAATTAAAAATTGTAAAGTTATGCTCCAAGTCCTATAACAGGTCTTGAATATTCTATATGCACAAATCTGACATACACAATCCCCAAAGCCCCACTATGAATGTAACAGTAGTGGTTTTAACATCAATGTTTAAAGTCTCTACTACTCTACAATAATGTCCAGCACTTGATCAAAAAAAAAAAAACATAAGACATATAAAAAAAGGCAGGGAAGATCCTATGTCAAAAGGCAAAGCAATCAAGAGAACCAGACTGAGAGATGATCAAGATGTTGTAACTATCAGACAGAGAATTTAAAATAGCAATGATTAATATGTTAAAGAATTTAGTAGACAATATGTATGAACAGATGGAAAATTTCAACAGAAAGATAAAATATGTAAGAAAGAGTCAAATGGAAATGTCAGAAATGTTTTAAGTCAAGATGAAGAAGAGATGAAAAATTCCTTTGATAGGCTCAGAGAACACTTGACACATTCAAGGTAGGAATCAATAAACTTGAAGATAGATCACTAGAAATCACCCAAACTGAAACAAGAAGAAGAAGAAGAAAAAAAAAGAAGTGGGGGACAAAACCAGAAAGAAAACTGAAGAACTGCACAATATGATCAAATGATATCATATATGTGTAATTGGAGTCCCAGAAGGGAAAAGAAGAAAGGAGAATGAGGCAGAAATAATATTGGGGGGGGGGGGGAGATTGATAATTCTCTAAAAATAAAGTCAT